AAAGATGTCGCTTTGTTGTTTAGACGTTGTTTGACCTTGTTTTCGCAACTTGGTCCAATTGGCTGGCAATGTACCAAGTCCACAGTCCGACTCATGAAAATTATCCTGCATATTATGAATTTATTACAAAACGCTTTCTTCTATGTATTCATGTCAATATGACCAAGTTGCGATATCAGGATCAAACAACTTCAATACAGTTGTTAGTTAGGTTGACGAACTAACGCCGTCACGAAATTAGCAAAAGTGAGATGGATTGGCTATGTAGCTTGATAAAAATTAATGTCTCGCATTTATGTTATGGCATACGTTCGACCAGCTGTCCCCAAGGGATGAACTTCCTATTTTTACTACCCTATTTTCAATTCTTGTCAATTCGGTGGTTAGTTTCGTTATTGAGGACCAAAGCAGCGAGTAACCGGTTGGATAAAGTTCCCTTAGGAAAAGCTGGATGATTGAATGATTTTAAACATAATCTTCTCGTCATCTTTGAGGTGGAGTTGCCATAACTATTCTTTCCAAAGAGGTTAGTTTTGGGGTTTTCTATTATTTTTTGAATGTAAATATGGATAACCTGGGACATTTAAGGTCAGATGGGATTTTTTGGCCCATGTAAGACCACACTTTTTACCTCATTTCACCAAATTATCAGCACCGTCAACTGGATTACAAACAGGGTCGAGCGAATATAGTGGTGACATCCCACCATTCCACCACAAAGATGGGAATGCTACTAGGAAAAAGCGCAATTATCGAATCCCATTTTCTAATGATAATGATGACGTGACAAACTTGTGATTGCCAGTAAAACCAACAGAAGATTTCATTTTTCGCTCACTTGTTTGTGGTAAAAATTCTACTTTCAGGCCCTAGTTCACTTAAGGGATTGAGTTCTTATTCATTATTTGCTTGCATTCTCGAAAATAATGCACCATCGTCAAGTGTAATAGCAAAGATAAGATTTCCCCAAAAGCAATCCCTCTATACAATGAGATTTTACTTACCCTAAAAGTCGTATATGTATTCGTACTGAGCAGCGGGATGGTGACATGTCGCCATAACTCGGTTTTGATTCTAGCTTGGGGTGTGGATGAGGTTTAAGTGAGCTCGATGCTACACTCCCGGCAAGACTAGTAAGCCAGATGGGAGGTAGGACTAAGTGAACCTTAGTGATCTTGCGATACCTACTAATATGATTATGGGGAAAACTTTTCAGTTAGGCCTTAGAGTACAATAGCTTATTCTCTACATACTCAACTCATCTTAAATGTTACTTTGCTGCATCCGCGCTTCGCCCACCAGTCAACACAAGCGACGATGTCCTCTCTTTCAAGCTTTCGCTAATGTGTCTTTTTACCATTTTTTTCATAATCCCTGTATCTTTTTGTAGGTATGGACAACCCGAATCTGTAATATGGACAGCGATGGCGACGGCAAAACCAATGGCCTAGAATTGGGTGATCCCACGTGCTCGTGGACATCGGCCAGCTTACGACAGGTCATACCGATCGGACACCCGGGCATCTGTGAGCCGGTCAATAGTATATACTGCATCCTGGCCAATTCAGTATACGACAAATCGGACTTGCCTTGCCACATCAATTACCTCGACAACTCGACAACGGCGGTAACCTCCACCATCAACATGGTGACCCCCGATTCTGCCCTGAAAGTTAGTTGCCCAATAATGTGGTTACCATGACTCTTTACAATTAGCGGAGCGACAAATTCTCGAATGGGTAGAGTGCATAGACAACGAATTAAAATGGATGGAAGAACTGGCAAATTATACAACATATAGAAGTGGATT